TATAACCGGAATTTTCAATACTTAGTATGATGATTACACGTTTTTTGACGTATCGAACAATGCGATTGAACGCGCATTTCGCAAACGGAGGTACTTAACAAATTTCGCACAGATATAAATACAAAGCAAGATTTATTCTAGGAATAATCTTAACCCTCAACGTGATTGTTTCTCAATTAGATTACGAGAATGAATTCTTATTCTGGGGCCACGACTCTAATCTCGCTCTTGTGCGCTTATACGAATCATGCAAATTACCAAGGTCTCCTAGAAGCCCTTTACAACTCGTAAACATTATTATTGTTGTATTGTCAGCGATGTGCTACTAAATTATAATATATATAATATTATATATATACAAACGACACAGATATATATAAATATATTATATATATATGTACCCATACGAAGGGGATATAATTAATAAGTATGCGCGTTGCTAGATCCGTGTAAGAAAGAGAGCTATATGTATTTATTATTTATATCGATAGGTATATGTATATGGACAAGTGCATATACGTGTATGAATTTATGATCTCTCGACAAATGCCAGGGAGATGGTTTCAGCGTTTTCTCGTTACCGGCACTTTTTTCGCACAAAATGGCGGCGCCGAAGACACTTCGGAGGGCCGACTTTGAAAGTAAAATCCCTCGGCGATCTATTTAGTCATTTTTAAATTTCGATTGTGAAATCAAGCTCGACCAGCGAGGTCGATCTAACGCGTTATTTCTATGAGAATATTGCTCCTTGTATCGCTACTCGCGAGCCTCTTAACACATTCGCGACCGCTGACGTGAATTCACGTCTTTCGAGTTCTACTCCTGGTTGCCGCTGACGTGAATTCACGTCATTTTAAATTCTCTTCCTGAAGACCGCTGACGTGAATCACGTCCTGCTTAGTTGGCTCACTAATTGTTAGCCGAAATTTTCGCCCCAATTTTATCATTTTTATCCTTGCTTTAACGATACAAGTTTGCGGCAACCAGTTTAAGAATTTCATTACTTTTCGCCGGTACTTAGGATTTGAAACGGGAAAAATTTCCCGCTCGTGAAAATGTGTTAAGACGGCAAGATGGCGGACAGAGAGGCCGAAAGAAAAGATGGATCGAAAGAAGCGGATGAAGAAGAGATCCCTACGTTCCCCAAATGTCCCTAGAGAGAGTCGTGGGAATGGGGAATTTCGAGTTCGATCGGTGTCGCTCCTACTCGAAATTCCCCGCCGAGTATTAGGCCTTTGTCGGAAATTTTCGGATTTCTAGAGATTCGCGAGGCGTTCATTTGCATACGTAAAGAGGCTTCGTTCGTCTGCATAGGGATTCCTGTGACCACTTCTAGGCGCCCCTGTGTTGCGAATCGCTCGTAGGTGCATCTTTGCGGCCCTTGATTGTTAATTTTGTACAAATTTCGAGATATAAATGTTAGGTGTAGTATAAGTTTTAGAGTCCTCTGAGAGCATCTATCCTAGCCCAAGCTTTTGGTTGGGTCCATTTCTTTCTACAAGCGATTTATAAGTAACCGCGAAGTTACCATAGGGTATGAGTAGCGTAAACGGATCATTTGTCGTACACAACACCATACTGCCGTTTAGGGATTCTCCTAAAACCACCTAAGCAGTCGAACAATGTGTCTGTCATCATTTTAGCGAGGATCCAGGTCAGTTGGGAGACCAGTTTTTTCATCGCTGAAAAGAGAAAAATCGATACCGTAGTCGATAGTTCTCCTTCAATTCTCCATTCACAGGTATTCAGTGCTGTCAAGTTTCTCGCCACCAAACTGGAATCATGTGAAGCTTTTAGTTTAACTCGGGCTTCTGGTGACGGTTTCATACTTCATTGGGCATAATTCCAAACGTAAAGTCACTATAAAACTGCGTTCATTTCTCACAGCTGATGTTTCTTCCTGACGTTGTCGGTAATTCGCGTCACTCGTAAAAGCAACTAATTTTTTCTTCTTTTTTTTTTCTATTCCACGGTTAGTACAATCATGAAAAAATGAGCCGAGACTGCCCGTCACTTAGTGTCAGGCGAATCAGTGAATTAAGGGGATGTGAAAGTGGCGTCGAAAGGGTCTCGTTTATGAAACTTTTCTCCGAACTGAGGGTACCGAATAGTTTCAAACTTGACACTGCAAATATCGAGGCTATAAAGAAGGTCCTAATACCCATGAAAATTCAATTTTTTTTTTTAATTTATTTATTGATATTTTCACATTTTTTTTTACAAAAAATGAATTTTTATGAGTGTCCGAACCTTCCTTATTGCCTCCAGGTTCACGTTGTAACATTTGAAAGGATTCGGTACACCCAGTTCGCAGAAAAGTTTCACGAACGATTGAGCTTTCGGATGCCACTTTCACATCCCCTTAACACTACAAGTAATATAATCCTGGACTTCGTAAACAAAGTATGTGCCGTTCGGTGCAAAATTCACAGATGGTTGAATTATTCACAAATACACTACACAATGACACGTATTTTACACATAAATACAACATTTTTCCGGAATCTACAGTGCAGGAAAGCATAGCGGCATTCTTTGGAAAAAGTTGGGTGAAGAAACCGTTCGCGAAACATTTGTACATTCAACGGTTTTGCTACAAAATGCATTTTAAAACAGCCAATCAGGCTCTGTGGGCGTGGCTTAAGTGGAGAGTGGGGATGTTATCTTTCAGGGGCGTGGCTTACGGGTCCCCTGATTGTTCTAACGCATTTTACGACTAAATTACCGATCACATGAAAATGTTATAAAGGCATTTATTACTCAACTTTTAACAAGGAACATCGCTAGATATTTCCCTGTCCTGAATTTTACTCAGAACGTAAAATATTCCTCGCGAAACGGAAATTTCTATTACGTATCTTTCCTCGTGACGAACCAGATACTTCAGCGACGAATGCTGAAATTGATTAGGTACTTCACGAGGCACAATTTCTACGTGAACGTCTCAAACTAGCTTAATATTTATTTCGCCCAATTGAATTTGAATGATATAAAATTTCGCTGATAAGAAGGTGGATAATCCTTGCTTTCCCTTTCCGTGGGCAGATGTTATCTAAGGTATCAAATTGTTAGTGGACTTTCTCCTCTGAGCCTTTATCTCGCGTTTTCAATTTTCTCTAATTCTCGACTAACTAAAGTAACAATTATCTGTAAGGGAATCGATGAGGCCCACGACTCGCGGGGCTAACGAATAACGTTAGACGATTACATCGAGATGTACTTTTTAAGTGTTTATCTGTAGACTCGAATCTTTTACGGCCGAAGAGCTAAGAAGGACGAAGTACTCCAAAAAGTACCTTTGAAAAATCACTCCACTGGAATGGCAGAAACTCGACTAATCTTGCAAGACAACAATACCGCGATGCAATTACTAAAAATTATTTTCACTATATCTTACCTAAAGGGCGAAAGGAAAGTTTAAACGACCCTAGTAGCATAGAATAATTTCTAAATATTTCTTTGTAATCTTTGCTAAATATCTCAAGCGACAGATTATTTAAGCTTTCTTGTAGATTTCATTCGAAGATATCTGAAATATTTGTTGAAAATCTCAAGGACATATTCAGTTTCAATAATTTATAAACATATATAGAAATTATATTTTTTAATTTATGAACATGTAATAAAAATACATTTTTTACTTCACGACTATTATCGGACACTTCATTTGGTATCAAAAAACACGAGAAATTTTTCTAATATTTTCGTTCCACTATTTCATTATGGGAGCAAAACGTGTGATTTTGATTTTAAATATTTTTAAAACGTTTATAATGTATTCGGCAGATAATATTTAAAAAATACTTGTATTAAAATGAAACGAAATGTTTTGTATATCTGGTAGAAAAATATTATGAAAACACATGGAGCTAATATTATATAAATATTATAGAGATAATATTCTAAAGTAAACGTTTTGCAAATATTTCAAATGTCTGCTAAATATTTACAAAATGTACGATATTCGTTAAATATATAGAAAATATAGGAGAAATATTTTGTGCTACTAGGGGAATACTTGAGAACAATTTAATATAAGAAAATATACATTTTCCTTCTGCTCGCTTAAACTTGTGATCAGCTACGATGTCACATTTCCACATAAGTATTTTAAACATACATAACTGCATTTATTTTTATATAACCAAAGATATTTTTTTTTAATGGTTTCGTATCTTGATAGCGCATTTTTCGTTCCTATTACTCGATATATAATTTTGCGAAAAAAATGTGCAACATGTTGGATAAACTATTCCAACTAAATACCTTACTGGCTATTTAAAGGAATTCTACGCAAAGATAATAATTCGTCGCACATTTTACGTTTAATTTAACATTTTTCATTCGGCGGAATCTTCCGAGTCCTCCTTCCTTTTTTCCTTATTAAATCATAAATTAGTATTAAAGATCCATAATAGTACGTCACAACTATTACACGAAAGTCTTACTAAAATCGTGTTAACAACTCTTCGGCCATCCTCTTCTTCAGGGGATCTTAATTATCACTTTTAAGTACTGTAAGCCACTAAGAATTATGCGTAAAGTCTCGTTAACAAAGTGCACCCGACTTAACATGCAGATTTTTTAAGCGAACCTCACCATAAATTAAGTTACGCTAATTAAACTCAGACATTTGTTACATGTGTATGTATGCGATGGGAAAAGAAGAAAACCCTGGGCGGCATTTGCGAAATTAGTCGAATTGCTAAATTAGCCGAGTGCAACCCGTACGTCACATACGCATAAACATACATCCGTAAACACGCGTGCGTATGTATGTATATACGTACACGTCTATTATATAAATATATAATACGACATTACTACACGATTAATGTAACGTATAAGCAATCAGACACTCGTATTTTGTATGTTAGTTACATACGGCGAGAACAACCATTTATTATTATTAATAATATTATTACTATTATTATAATAAATCGTACTATGCTCCAATTGTATGTTCATTAACCTGCTTTTTTCTTATTTTTCTGTTTCAGAAAGAGAACGAGAAAGAGCGTTTGTTATGTGTGAATGTGCCCTTACTCCTGCACTCCTCCTTACCATACAACTTTACAATTACCTTTTTTTATTACCTATTTCTGTATCATAAAATCCCGACAATACTAAAGTTCCTTCTCGCCTGGAAATTTCTTCTTCCTTTTTCTTCATATTTTTTTTTCGAATTTTACGGAACGACTTGTAACATTTAGCGATACCGTACCCGTGATCTCATTACATTTCCGACGTGATCTGTATTTTGTTTTTCGTTTTTCTATTTTAAAACTGCCATACCGTTTTTCTCATAAAATCCGGATTTTTTTGTTTGTTCTTCAGTCTCCGCCGTTTTCTGTTTTTTCTTCATTTTTTTTTTCTTTCGAATTTTACAGAACGACCTGTAACATTTATCGATACCGTATCCGGGATCTCATTACATATTCGACGTGAATCTGTATTTTGTTTTTCGTTTTTTTATTTTAAAACTGCCATACCGTTTTTCCCGTAAAATCCGGATTTTTTCTTGTTTATTCTGCAGTCTCCGCAACCATTCATATCCCCGCGAAACATTTTAGATTGATGGCTCTCGACAGGTGTTTTCATTTTTCGACATTTCTTTTCTAGGTGTGCCCGGTGCTGCTTCTTTAGAAGCTATTGTTATTGAGAAGGAACGCATCTACTAGTCAGTGACTTTTGACAACGAAATTCGTAAAGTCCACCGAAACGTTTGGTGGCACAGGAGACCAGCCATGGGCAAACAAAACAGCAAACTCAAGCCTGAAGTGCTAGAAGACCTTAAGCAGAATACGGAGTTCTCAGGTTAGTCTAAATGTTTAATAGATGGCGAAATATCTGTTAATTTAATAACAAATAGGAAGACATTAAATACGAAAGAATTGTCCAAATCCGGACTCAATTCTCGGTTCGAGTTCTAAATGAAGATAAAGGGTCTAACGATTCTGTAACTGTTGTAGATTAAGGCGATGTCAAAGTGGCGTCGATGAGGTTTTGTTTATAAAACTTTTACAGTACACTTCTTACAGACGCGGAAATTCACGAATGGTACATTCGTGAATGACATAAAAAAAGTATCTTATTTAAATCGACTGATTTGAGTTTTCACTTCACCTTAATTATTCCTCAACATGTCGCTTAAAGGAAAAAAAATGAATTTTGTGTTTAATTACAGACGCGGAAATTCACGAATGGTACAAAGGCTTTTTGAAGGACTGTCCGAGCGGACATCTCAGTGTAGAAGAATTCAAAAAGATCTATGGAAACTTTTTCCCTTATGGCGACGCGTCAAAGGTAAGGCCGTGAATTGTGAACAGCGCCAAAGTCAGTATAGAAATTTCGCCCTAGCAATCGATCATTAATATGCATTACCATGCGAGTGAGTGCGGTACTCGCTTATAGTGAAAATGATCTTCACTTTCTCATTAATAACGCGCCATGGACAAAGGTAAAGCCTTTAAGGTCAATCCGCATGCAGCTAGATTTACATCACACCGTTTAGGCTCCACATATATACACAGCTCATGTAGCATAAATCTACCTAGGACATCCTGACAAAGTCCTCCGCATCCTCGAGATATTACAGGACATTCCTTTGCTATCTGTGCTGCATGGGAATCAGCATGAACTTTTGCCGAGTATTCATTTCACACATTTATCATTCATAAGTAGAAGGCATCAACGTAGTTTACTTACGTCTAGTGTAAAAATTTTATTTATAACGTGATTTGTAAGCAATCAATCCACACAAAGGACATAAGGACTTTATTCTTCGAAGGGTGTAAAAATGAAATTTTTCTAAATATTCATCAGTATTCATCTCACACAATTATCATTCATAAGTAGTAGGCATCAACGTAGTTACTTACGTCTAATGTAAAATTTTTATTTGTAACGTGCTTTGTAAGCAATCAATCCACGCAAAGGACATAAGGACTTTATTCTTCGAAGGGTGTAAAAATGGAATTTTTCAAAATATTCATCAGTATTCATCTCACACAATTATCATTCATAAGTAGTAGGCATCAACGTAGTTACTTACGTCTAATGTAAAATTTTTATTTGTAACGTGCTTTGTAAGCAATCAATCAACGCAAAGGACATAAGGACTTTATTCTTCGAAGGGTGTAAAAATAGAATTTTCCAAAATGTTTAAACCCTTTCGGAAGATGTCTAGATAAATAATTTAACCCGAGACATTTTCTATTTACATTCATGTTGAGTACATTAATGAGTGAAGTACCCAAATCAGTGAATTAATGTACAAATAAATGTGTAAAATGCAAATTGATCAGTTGCTTAGATACATTTTCTATTATTTAAATAACGATGTCACTCGTTATCTATACTAATCCGTACACTGTTAACTAAAGTACACGTCTTATAAAATGAATATAAATTGAGCATAATTATTAAGCAAATAATGTCGCTCACTGTGTAGTTGCAGAAAAATTTCGCTATAAATATCATTCGAATGATTAATTGCTCTTGATGAGAAATACATTTAAATAATGTCCAAATGAACATGAATAAGGGCATTCACATATATGTACATACAACGTCATATACAAGAACATAGCCCGAGTAACTGATGAATAAACCACGACAGCGCTTTTACTCCAACTCTTCTGAAATACATTTTTTTTTATTATGATTCGTCTTTTATTCGTCCGAATGGAAGGTTTTCACTGTAGGCGTACTTTTATGGAGGCGAACTGCAGTATAGAAATCCGGAAAATGGAAAACCTTCCACTCCGTGCAATATGTCGTCAACGAGAAGCACCGACCAACGAATGGCTTTCATTCTTTGGAAATCGATGGAATAATAGAACTCGAAATGGCCTCAGGAAAATGTCTTCATACAGGAACATATTGTAGCACTGTAAAGCAAAGTCATTTCGCGATATACTCGGGCTCGCCTTGCGTATGCAAATCGATAAAATATGAAAACCTTTCACACACAACCTTACTCAATACATGGAAAATCAGTAATTTCCAACGGGAAGGGAAAATGAATTTTTTCATATTTCTTAAAATTACTATTTACCCTCCCCTTTGTATTTTAATATCAACATAATTCGCGTATACGTCTTCATTAATCCTTGTTTTTTAAGTCAATCAGGCAGCAGTGCTTTTAACTTGGCGAAACTGGCATTGAAATCGCTACTAATTATTTTTTATGATATTCAAAACCAGTATCGAACGCGTAAAGGAATTTTGTGAAAGAAAATTCAGAATAATTAATATCATCTGATAATTTATCTAGCCTTTGAGTGTATCTAACATATAGTTCACATATATATTACATACGTTCGATAAATATTTATATACAATTAATTTACGGATATTCCACGTTCCGCTGTACCTGGGTACTTTCAGTACCTGTGATGGCCACGCTCCGATTTTTATATTTATTTTCATACATATTATATTATTCAGACAATCTTTTATTCATGTTACATGCAAATTTTGTTTCAAATGATACTCTAGAGATATTTGTATAAATGAAATATGACACGCCGGCATACAAGATGACATAATAATTGAAATTTTTGTAACTAAAGATTATTCTTACGAAATAAAATACATTTAACAAATTGCCTAAGGCTTGCACTGTCTGCACATAAAATTTAATCTTAATTAAACACTTCGCATGCTTCAGTCGCAGTTTGAATCTTCTCTATGTCGTCTTTCATTAAACGAACTGTATATTCTCGCATGTATACAATGAATGCATATAAATTGTGCTTCTGCACCCTGAGAGAAAAATCATGAAAGACATAAAACAAAAGCGATATAAAACAGTCCACCGAAAAAACGTTCTTAACCATTTCAATATTACCGTCATGGATGGCAACACAAAGTGGATATTTGAAAGAAAATAAGTATTGAAATAGTCGTTAATTGTATAATTTGTACTTTGAGAAATATTGTTAAGAAAATTGTCGACTTAGTTTATCGCGAAGAATATGTTGGAAAAGGAAGGATCCTTTTTTTAATCACTCGGTGTACATTATACTTAACTTTGAATGAGGCAGCAAAGTTAGACAAGTTGTATGCAAGGTAGACAATTTTCGAAAGTTTCGATCCTTCGAAATTTTGTTAAGAAGATTTTCGACATAGTTTATCGCGAAGAATATGTTGGAAAAGGAAGGATTCTTTTTTTAATCACTCGGTGTACATTATACTTGGTTTTGAATGAGGCAGCAAAGTTAGGCAAGTTGTATACAAGGTTTGGTCTTCGCTATCTGGGTTGTCTCCCACGAGAGAGGCGTTTTTTATGAGCTTCTTTCGGTTCAGTTCAAAGCCCTTTGGATGATCTCCCCAGGTGAAGTACCAAGTTGGCGTTCCCTAAAGCAATATTGAACTTTCCAAAAGACGCTGGTCCTCAGAAATAGGCCCCTTGCTAAAAGTCACTTCCGAGACACTTTTATTGAAGGAAGTTCCATCGCTAATCAAAACTCATCCTTGATACTTTAAGTATTCCTTATGCAAAACTCATTTCGTTAATACATTTTTCAATTTTGAACGCTTTTACATTCGATCATTTTCGTCCATTTCTTTCAACTCGTAATTCAGATTTATCCCACACTTTTTATTTCACGTGATAGGACCAAAATTTAGATCACATTCACAGATGTAATATTTTGTAAGCATAAATTATTGAGAAAATTACAAATAAATTTCCCGACTAGTTCTGACAAAAGAATATAGATGCTCTCATGAGTTACAAAAATGAAAAGTGCATTACACGTGTATTAATACTTTTCATCATGTACTAACGCATATATTAACGCGGATTTATGAGTTAATGTTTCTGAAGGAGCTAGACATTAACATCGTCAACATCCTTTTAAAGATTTGCAGTTAATATCCAACTTTTATCAGTTGCTCGTGAGAATTAACGAAATCTCGAAATATCATGATTTCCTTAATTAAAACGCCTTTAATAAAATGTGGGTACAAACAGCAAGTAACTCCCGTTCAAAATCTTTTATCCGAAAAATATTCTTCGACCAGAGGTGTGTTCTGCTTAATCTACAGACTCTCGATTAAAGTAATTTAAATTCTCGAGGAGTACTACATTGCTCTTCCACGAGGCGTTACCGAACTCCCCGAAAGACGCTAACTTTGAAAACTGGCACCCTCGTGAAAGAGGGTCGTAGAGTCATTTCTATTGAAAAAAGACCCACCTAAGTGCCGAAACTCATTGTCCAATTTTCCACGTGATCAGTTTGCAGAACACGTCTTTAGGACGTTCGACGCTAACGGCGACGGAACGATCGACTTTCGGGAATTCCTCTGCGCTCTTAGCGTCACATCTCGAGGGAAATTGGAGCAGAAGCTGAAGTGGGCATTCAGCATGTACGATCTGGATGGAAACGGATACATCTCGCGGCAGGAAATGCTGGAAATCGTAACGGTGAGTAACCTTTCAGATTCGAGTACAGCAGATTTTCAATAGTCACATCCGCCATTTTAATACCCTCGTTCGGAGTTTTCCACTATTCCGATTGTAATACCTCAAGACGTGTATTAATACATTCGTGACCGGCAAATTTTTTCCATTTCAAATACTGAGTACCGGCGAAAATAATGAAATTCTGAAAGTGGTTGCCGCAAACTTGTATCGTGTAACGTTATCGACGTGATTCACGTCAGGAATAGAATTTATTTCATTTGTACTTTGTTATCACATGTATACTCTAATATACAACGACAAGTACGTGCGATCAGGACTTCCATTCGACCGCAAAAGTTGCAAAAATTTCCCCTGGGAAGATGCCGAACTTATATCCCCCATAGGTCGTAGATATAACAGTGAACCGTAGCTTCGAAAGACCCCATAATGTTTCCAGAATTAGATACCAAAGTAACTTCCAACAGATTCCAGCCACTGCATCGTACTTGAAAATTAATTAATTCCAAACTTTCCAAACAAGTAATAACTAGCTGGCATTTAATCGAGAAATATGAAGCCATCACACACACACACACAACGAACTAAAAATAAAACATTAACGATTGCTTTCCATTTTCTGGGGTAAATAGGAAATAGATCATATTTTTTCCTATGTAAACCAAATTTCAGAACTACGTCAATTATTCCGCTCAGCAAAAATAAAATCCCGAAAGTTCACCAATTAGACAAGCAAGGGTAGATAGTAGAGAATATTTTGAACGCCAATTACTCCTATGTAAACCAAATTTCAGAACTACGTCAATTATTCCGGCAAAAATAAAATCTCAAAAGTTCACCAATTAGATTAGCAAGGGTAAATAGTTCACCACCAATTAGACAAGCAAGGGTAGATAGTAGAGAATATTTTGAACGCCAATTACTCCTATGTAAACCAAATTTCAGAACTACGTCAATTATTCCGCTCAGCAAAAATAAAATCTCAAAAGTTCACCAATTAGATTAGCAAGGGTAAATAGTTCACCACCAATTAGACAAGCAAGGGTAAATAGCAGATAATATTTTGAACGCCAATTATTTCTATGTGAACCAAATTTCAGAACTACGTCAATTATTCCGCTCAGCAAAATTAAAGTCCCAAAAGTTCACAAGTATTGTACTAAATGGCATACTCCACTTGTCGTTTTCGTACAATAATTATAAAGAAATCGAATTAAAACTCCACAAATCCTCTGAATTCATGGTTTCTGAGGTTCTACTTGACTGCAAAGGGACCCCCTTTGCCATCTATGATTTCCTCGTCAACTAAATTTTCACTCCGAGACCTCGTATTATCATCGTTTTAGCATAGCAGCGAATAAGATACTTCTTCTGCCTTTATCCCATTCAAATGCGAGTTTCTTGATTACCAGAGTGTTCTAAATTGTCGTACAATTGTCCTACACTTTGGTTTCTCATATTAGAGCCATTTAGAGATTAATTGTATATTGATCGAAATATGAGAGCTCGACGCCATTAAGGTTCTGGCCTGGGGTAAGTTAAACAATTTCTTGGAAAAATTCACATTTCGAATGTGTCGGGACAATTCTTAGATGATCACTCGTGATGTATCAAAGTTTCGGACAGTTTGGTCCAATACCCTTAAAAAAAAGTGTTGTATTCGAATCGACTGATTTGAAGGGGGTTTCACTTCACCTTAAATGACCACAGTTTCCCCGAATCGGTTCTATTGTTGCGACGTAACCACGACCGCCACATCGGTATGCTTCTTGTTCCAGGCAATCTACAAAATGGTGGGCACCGTGATGAAGATGCCAGAGGACGAGTCGACGCCGGAGAAGCGAACGGACAAGATATTCCGCCAGATGGACAAGAACAAGGACGGCAAGCTGTCATTGGACGAGTTCATAGAGGGCGCGAAGAGCGACCCATCCATAGTGCGACTGTTGCAGTGCGAGCCTAGTGCGCAGGCCCAGTGAAGTCCCGGGCACCCAGATGCTGTTTCACTGATCGCGACCCCGAATCGGGGCCCGGCCCAATAAGACCCCGACGAGCCCAAAGATTCGATGCTATCATGGAGGAGAGTGGCATCACGACCGTCGCCGCCATCGCATTCACCGTCGTCGAGGCGCAAAGACCCGGCATCGACGAAAAAGTCCTCGCTCGACCCTTTTTCTGCGCAACGAGTCACCGGTAGCTCGCGAAAGCTCTTCTCGTCGCCCTCATTACACCTACCGAGCACGTGGCAACCCTAATATCGTACCGATTCGCTAGGTTAGGTTAGGTTAGGTTGTCGCGTCGCGAGTCGCCGGTGACTCGCGAGGTTCCCTCGAAACTCGAATAGAATCCCCGAAGTGGAGGGCCAGCGACTTCGGGTTAGGTTCCAGCCAGCGATCGTGTCGGGTCCGCGCATCAACCGATCTTTTAGGTTAGGTTAGGTTAGGTTAGGTCTCCGTCCCCTTCTCCTCGCAGGACTGCTCGCGAATGAGGTATCTTCTCGCGGAAGAGAGGGCCAGGCAGAAGTAGATGCGCCTAACTACCGAGCAGGTGATCTTATTGGGTTGGCAACTAAGTGATTGCGGATCTTTTAATACCATCCATCGAGAAAATCCGCAATCATTTAGTTGCCAACCCAATAGTAGAGAGGTAGGCCCGTCGCTTTCCATCGGCGCAGACGGTCAATCGATCGACTACTCCGGTTTGACCTGGACGAAGGAATTCTGCCTAGTTTCGATCGGACGATTCCAAAATGCTGTATTCGAGGAGGGGACGAGTTTATGGCGCGGTAAGTGTGGTATGTCTTAGTAGAGAGGTGGTAGATCGGGTGGAGGTGGATCTTGCGACTTTGAGTTGTGCAGTTGGCACCACCGAATAATTCTCGTAGAACCGGAGGGCCTGGAAATAAGGTAATGGATCCCCATACAGGAGCCCAACATTGCTACAATGTCGCTTGGTGTCGGGGCAGCTCTGCTGCAACGTAGCAGTAAAGCTGCTACGACGGAACTGCTTTCGCAAACGCTACGCAAACATTTCCACCGATAAGATCCAACATGGCGCCCTGCTTCCGGCGATGTTGTATTATCCACCACTACGACATCGCTGCGGTATGTACGCTGCTACGTTTCGCGGCATACAAGCTGTCGTAAAACCCGCGAAAAGAAAATGTTGAGGGTTTGAAACTCCTCCGCGAGATTGTAGAGGTATGTACAATCAAGTTGCAGAGTTGAGAACCACACCGGCACCGCTATTGTCTGTAAGTACAAGATAACAAGAAGAAAAGAACATAAATTCCAAAGCCACTGCTTCACCGTTGTATCCGCGATATTCCAACATTGTTGCAGTACGCACCTTAACATTGAATAAGGGTTAAAGTAGCGTGAAACAGCCCATAGTTAAGTCATGCCCTCGGACCTTTTGAACAAACCCGGACACCTAATCCTCGACAACGAGCAAAGATGTCCGTCCTGCAACTTTGTTACGCGTTGCCCTTCTACTGTCTCTGCACAATCGCCCTTACTTTGCGCCACTTATCTGCCAGGTTGCAGACTTAGACCTTAACGACTTAACTGAAACGGAATAACAAACGCACCTAAGCTGGTCATTTCGCAAAAACGCCCCTCCCGACATCCAACATTGTTGCAATGTTTCGCACAATGTGCCGTGCTGTATGGGTCTTGAACGGAGAACATTACAAGGGCCATATACTCAAAGCCTTTGCAGATTTCCGAGCAAGGCAGCATCTAGATAGGAAGAGAGTGCCACTCGTTAATAAAAAATGAATCTCTACCACCGAAGGTGGACGCCGGTGAAGTGATCGATCATTTTTAGGCCGTAGGAACGCACAGAAACGCTTAGGCGTTTGCAGAAACTGATTAAGTGGCACGACTCCTCCATGAGTGCACTCGGTAATTGGGCATCGACATGTCGCAAAGGGTTCTTAAATTGGACCGGGACCCGATAGTTCCGGGGCCGCTGGGCCCACGGCGCTTGCGCAATCCGCAAGCTAGTCGATAAGACTAGTCCAGTCGCTCCGTCTTGTTAACAAAAAGATAAAAAGAGTTAGGTTATGTTCTCTCGATCCGACCTTGCGCTGCGTAACGCGGTGAACGATAGGTCTCGACCGCTTTAGATAGACTTTACCGGGGTCCGTGGATGGGTTTAAATTTTTATACGCGTCAATTCAATGGCCTTTCTTCATTCGACCTCTGACTCCGCCATGTTGAATTTCAATTATCTCATCGTCGTTTTAGAAGCGGCTTAATCGGCGTAGAAAGCAGGTTGCCAAGGTTTAAACAAGATAATTAATACTTGCTCGTTCATTGGTGTAAAGTGGTTATCATATCGTATGATAGGGAAAGGGTTACTATGTCTTGTCAGGAGTGTATCACGGTGATTGTAGATAAGAATAGCTTCTTAAGTTCCCCGTGGACTAATATGGTGAAGTTGGATGTACTGCTTAACGGAAATACTATGGAATTTATTGTTTGGAGTATTAATTAGCAATTGTTACGATTGAATATTCAGTTTATTTAGAGATTTTCGGCCATTGAGTTGACGGGATATGGTTTAATGCGTTACCATGGGACCCCAAGGGTTGTAAAAACTTTTTCCCAGGCGTTGAACCTTTTTTCCCAGTGCATCGCGGAACGAATAGGGAATCGACTTACTAGGCTAGTGTTGTTCATCTTGTCTAGTTACATTCTAGGGGACTCGGCACAGGTCTGGATTCCATAAAACGTTTATATCGGGACGTGACATGTTCGGTACGCATAGTGATTATTATAACGATTCGAATTAACGTTGGAGTATTAATTAGGCCTCGAGGCTGTAAATAAACAGGTGACTAATTAAACACATTCTAATCGCGCTGAGTAGAAATTTTCTTTGTACGGTTATAAAAAGGATCACATTGTTGCTGGACTGGTCTCTTAGTTTCCATCGATGAAGTTGTCAAACTCTAGTAGTAACCGAGTGACTCGGTCAGCCATTATGAAAGACGTGTGTAATTTCAGAATATGAGTGAATGTTATTTAAAAGGAAATATACTTGTTTTAGTTTCTTGCTGGCATCCTAGAACACGGAGACCTCATTATTGAGTATTTTCTAAGGATACGATGTGATCGACATATATAAACCTATAAATTTATTCAATACACTCAGTTAACTGGTTCGGAGATAAACCTCCTGTTTCTTGAATCGCTACTTTACGAGTTATCATCTTATGATATCACGAGACATATACCTGTTTACGATAGTCAACCTAAATGACGATAATATGTCACACATACAAGCGTGCATGAATTTGTTGCTCTCATGCAATGAGCGATAAACGGTTGCCTTATCTCGCGTACGTCTGACCAATACTCGCCTGTACTACTTGATTTTCTTCAGTGAGTCCCTTATCATTACCGTATGATAAGTCTGATCAGTGTTTTCTCACCGCTTGGATTCCCAACAACTACTAGCAGGTGCTATAGTTAAAGTAAACATCTAGTTTGTAGAAAGGGAATATTAATATACTATGTCAGACAGAGAGGAATTCGAATTAGTATAGCACAACGTTTATGTGTTAGTCGCTCTGTACCCCACGTCTATTTTTCGTTTTGAATTGATGCTATGAACAACTCTGGCAGAAATTCATATTATGCACAAATTTACTTCGCCGATGGTCATTATAATCCAGTACCTGCAAAATCAAAACTGGTATCGAACTCGCCCGAGGTAATATTTAGAACGAAAAGTGTAGTAGTTTTAAACACGAAAATAAATTTCATAATACTATTTCATTTCTTTCTATATTGGTCGTTTTTCATTCATTTTCAGTGCAATCCGCAAGCTTAGATCTTCCTTACGTGCAAATATCGGAGTCATTAAATGACATATATTTACTATTTAATTTCCAAGACATGCAAATGCAACTCTTGATGTTTCTCTTCGTTGAAAATGAAACGCAAAATATTGTAATTGTATCCAAAATATTTTTATAACTATCTCGTGTGACTATTGCGGCACAATATTTTTCAAATTTTGTTTCAAATCAAGATTAATGATTTATTTTTTTCATGAACTTACATTTTTTTCATACGTCTGACGTATGTGCTGCGTTACTACTTCCTCTGAAACCGCAGCCTTTCATTGCTGACAAATATATTACAGTACTATTGAATTTCCAAATCAATAATGCCACATCCCCATTAATGCCAATAATTGGATGATCAGAAGATAAGTGAAGAACTAATATTCTTCAAGCAAAAAGGAAATATAAAACCAATACGTATTTGACAGAAAACAGTTCTCAACGGCGTAAGGTAAACTTTCACCGAAGTTTCGATGTAAATTAATTACGGTTACAAACATTCGGTAAGTTTCTTACCTTTTCTAGCACTAATTGCAAAAATTACCCCCCTCTCTCCCGATACAGATAACTAATACATCCCTCCGTTATTTGAGTTCCGAAGCCATTAACATTGCATGGCTGACCAATGCACTGCGTTACTACTAGACTAGTCTACTGCTAAAATCAAATACAGGAATGAAGGTAATAAAATTGACGAAATATACTATATTATCCCACTGAACACCAAACCTAACAGTTACGTAAAAAATTAATATTATTTTAAGGTAACTGAACTTACAACATTAATATAATATGTTACATAACGTGTTACCTTATCGAGTGGGAAATAATAACAAATATCTAACTTCGATGTTACTTTTATGCTACATAACGCGTTAGCTTCGAAAATGTAACATTTACCTAACAGTTATATTAGTGTTCTGTGGGATAATGCGTCAGCCGAAATTGAATACATAAATATTCCAGGTCAATTGTTCATATTAATACTTAACGTCAATTGTCCATATTAATACTTAACGTCAATTGTTCATATTAATACTTAACGTCAATAGTTCCATTTTAACGTTTACGTAATTTTTCCCAGCTTATAGATTTTCCCTCTAGGAGGCCAGCAGATGGCGCAGTTGTGTGTCCGCTTATTTACGTTAATAATTTATTTAAAAGGAATCACCACGCGTACCGAATTCAGTAGGAAGATTCGAGGTGCCATTAACGGATTCGTTACCGCTTTACGCAACTCCCGGTCCCAGATTTCAGTACGCGTTACGAAGGCTCCTCCGAGGGTCGAAGAAGACTTTCGGACGCCATTAAGCAAAGAAAATTCGCGGCCTTTCCTCGCGTCCTCGTGTTAATAATACTAACCGGACATACGTCCCGCTACCTCGTTGGCCGACACGAAGTCGCGAACACGTCTTAGAGGTCTAATTGTCGAGTGGTGTAAAATTAAGCCCGTCACGATAACGCGTTCCTTTATTTCCAAGGTCGCAGGAAGTAGCGTCAAGTCAACTAATAGTACTTCCGGATGAAAGGAGGGAATCGGTGGGGATTATTTTCCCCAAGGGGTGTTTTCCACGACTCGATAGTTAGGCCATCAGGCCATCTTGGAAAGGGGCCTTTGTTATTGTCACGTTACAGCCGTGAACTTTGGTTGTGCGCAACGAATTCAATATGGCGGCGCTGCCGGATTCGGATAACGGGCGGGTCTGCAAACTGAGAAGGTAGTTATGACGAAATATAGAGGAAAACGGATAAATACACGATGTCGAATGAATGTGGAAGGAACAGATCTGCGAAACATAAGACGCGCTTAGGGTCGCGAAAGGTACTCGCCAATATGGCGGCGAAAGTAAACATTCAGAGTGGCTTGTGTCGAATGCCATAATGGCCCCGACATGGCCCTTAGGCCCGTAGGGGTATTTTTTCATGAACGTCGAATGAAACTTTTACTTACTCAGGTATGTAAAGTAATTTACTAATGTAACCATTCTTTGCAATTACTTATCGGGAATTTATACCCTTACCCGTCTCGCACAGATTGCAGGCGGACATTGAAAAGCATTCATGCTTTATAATTACCATTATTTCACTTAATCAGAAATTAACAATAATTGCGTATAAGTGGATCAAGTGGATGATCTCTGAAACCGATCCTAAAAATCACGTCACTTGGAAGCGATATTATGTAAAGGAGGTGGAAACTAAATCTTAAATATGATCAGGTAATATTTGTAAGTATCGTTCAATTAAATCCCTGAAGATGTATACTTTACCTATATATATTGTAAATTGTGTATTCAAATTATATATATATTGATAAGATATATAAGGGAAAAAATCTGAAAAAAAATATAGCTGTACTAAAATTAATGCAATTTGAAGTATGATATATGTGTGTTTTGTCAAAATGTCGTGATGATAAGGAAATCGCTTCCCGGGGGTATAACGCGACACTTGTTTCGAGTGTCCTAATGAAACATTATAGAGAATGTTTCGTCCAGTAACACAAATGCGTAAGAGTTACAACATTGTATGTTATTATAATCTGAATTTTGTCTAAATTCTGTTGTATCTCTTTGGTACGTATAGTGGTAGATGTGAATGCCTCCCCTGCAGATACGACATCGCCTGTGCAGGATGGGAGGGCATTGAAGTCTCCCAGTGTACATTGTAGACATGAATGCCTCCCCTGCAGATACGACATCGCCTGTGCAGGATGGGAGGGCATTGATGTCTCCCAGTATACATCACGAATCAACTCTTTATCTTATCGATCTTTCCACTTTAAGATTAAGTGGCTCAATAGTTCACCTTTGAGTAATTCGACGTTTATGAAAAAAGAAAACCGCTTAACGATTAGCGGCTGCCCATCGCGAGCGTATTTAGAGATTTATTTTTGTCGTTTTTCTGCGCGTATGCCTGTGTGTATGTGCGTGCATGTATAAAGCACATGAATTCGTGGGCTTCGAAGGGTACACGTTTAACAGCGCAGAACTCGCCCGAGGGCGCAAAAGGTACTTCGTGTCTCTTATGCGTCAGAAAGTACACCGTAAATTCAGACCGTGTCCGGAAACGCTGAAAAGTCACGCGAAGTACGCCCTTCGTACTTCACTCATTACCTGACCTTAGGTCCAAATGAAAGACATGTACTAATTAACATTAATTATGAACACTTATTAAATTTCACTGTCAAATTATACATTTATTTTCTCGAAATCTAGTATTAATGTTAATTAGAAGTGTCGTACTATCCCCGGTAACAACAGCAGGACGATTAATAATTGGTGTAGCTCAAACTGCAGCCATGTCGCCACACTTTGAGAGTTTCTTATTCGGTGGTACGAATATCTTTCCTTTATTGATTTCGAGTATTATACGCAGAAATGGTTTGCGTATTTTGTGCGACTTTTCAGAATGGCGCGTGATCGAAACCATTAAGGTGATGTGAAAGTGGCGTCAAAGGGTTCTCGTTTATGAACCTTTTCTCCAAACTAGCTGCACCGAGTCGATTCAAATTTTACAATATGAATGTGGAGGGTATAAGGAAGCTTTGGATACTCATAAAGGTTTCGATTTTTTTTTTAATTTATTCAGAGATATTTAAAAAATTTGAAACGATTCGGCACACCCAGTCCATAGAAAAGTTTTGTGAACGATTAACTCTTCAGATGCCACTTTCAAGTTCCCTTAAGGTGATATGAAAGGGTCTTTCTATATATATCAAAACGTGAAATTATTTATAAAATTGTTCTCCAAATTAGGTGCACCGAATTATCTGAAACTTTCACACGTGATTATGGAGGCCCTGATTAAGAACGCGAAATTTCATTTTTCGATAAAAAATATCTTTTTTGGTTCTTGTCCGAGATAAGTACAATTTTTGTTTTCTGAAAATTGAAATTTCACAAGCATCGCGTTCTTTCCTAAGGTCTCCATAATCCCATGATGAAGGTTCAAATGATTCGATGCACCCAATTTGGCATATAGTTTTGTAAGTATTTTCAGTTTTTGGTATATATGTATATATACACACATATATATGACCCTTTCATATCATCTTAATAACTAAAACGAGCGGTTCGGTGATAACGCGCGACGAGCTGTGCACAAGATGGTGCGTCGCCGCCAACACGAGATAGAACGTGATAAATTTTAAGTAACGCATGTAATTAACATTAATGTGACTCGACAGCCGTCGGTCACGTCATTTCGTATTTACCCTGTCGCTAGTTAATAACGGATTCAGGAAAGTTGCGCTTTCGACTTTCTTCGCGCACTGAGAGCAAGATGGAGTTCCGCGAGAGGCGTTCGCCCTTTATCGGGAATCTTAACTTTTCGGCCTTGCGAACTTGATTTTCCGCTTCGTTGCGTCTCGACGTTGAACCTATATCCCTGGAGAGGCCTATTTTCTCAATTTTGGCAATTTCTTCCAATTCTTTCTTAGCCGAACAAATTCTATGTTCACCAATCTCGAACGCCGATCTACGAAGTTAAATTTTCAAAATCTGCGAGTTGTCGGCTTGGTAACTAATTCATTAAGATTTAATCCCAATTTTAACGGTCTAATCTCTATTCATTTGTCTATACCAATGACGAAATCGAAGTCAGAGTCCGCAAAAAGAGAATCGGAAATTTCAATATGGCCGTCGTAGACGAAGGAGAGGCAACTTGGCGAGAATTCGAAACGTAACGATGAAAAGAGGCTTCGTGGCTAATTCTTTAAGATTTAATCCCAATTTTAACGGTCTAATCTCTATTCATTTGACTATACCAATGACGAAATCGAAGTCAGAGTCCGCAAAAAGAAAATCGGAAATTTCAATATGGCCGTCGTAGACGAAGGAGAGGCAACCTGGCGAGAACTCGAGACGTAACGACGAAAAGAGACGGAAAAGGTTCTCCGACCGTCATTTACTTCCTAAACCTGATAAA